TTCTTTTTTTTTTTTTGATTCTTTTCTTTCTTTTACGTTGTTTTTTTTTTTTTCGTCCAGAGTACTTGCCGTCGAGGAGTTCCAGTAAACACATAATATTTAAATTAAGTATGCGGGGTTCCTCGGTGGCGTAATTTGAAATGACGTGGTGCCGTGGACGCCAGTGTAATGCAAGGTATGGCAACTGTGTTCGAAACTGTTCAAACATCTATCGAAGACGCCTACGGCGAATCACCGCCGCCCCCTGCCTTCTTGGAAGCGCCTATGTGGCCGAACGTTGAGGCCAGACCTGGCAAGCTGTCGGACCACGTGTTCCCCGAATCGGTTTGGAAAGCCTTCGGGGAACACGTGGGCATCTTGAAGGTCATCTTGGCCGTCTTGGAGGCCTCTTGGCCAAGCTTTGGGCGATCTTTGGGGCTTTTTGGGCCGTCTCGGGCCAGCTTCGAGCCAACTTCGGCCATCTTGGTGGGTTCCTGGCACGTCTGAAGCCGTCGGAAGCCGTTTGGGGGGCCTCTATGGGCCGACTTGGGGCCCGCTTGGAATGCTCCAGGGCCGTCTTGGAGGCCATCTTGGGCGTCTGGGAGGCCATCTTGGGCGTGCTGGAGGCCTCTTGGGCCCTCTTGGGGCCCTCTAGGGGCCATCTTGGAGGCCACTTGGGCCATCATGGGGCTCTCTTGGGGGCCTCTTGGGCGATCTTGGGGGCTTTTTGGGCCGTCTTGAGCCGTCGGAGAGCCGAAAAGGCGCAAATGCCAAAATCCTTCAAAAACCAAGGGAACATCAATGATTTTGGCCTCTTCGGACTCTCCTGAGGACCTCTTGGAGGCCTCTTGGGCCGTCTGGGAGGCCTCTGGGGGGCCTCTTGGGCCGTCTTGGGCCGTCTTGGACTCTCTTGGGCCGTTTTGGAGGCCGTCTTGGACCATCTCGGGCGGACTTGGAGGCCATCTTGGGCCATCTTCGCGATTTTTTGAGGATGTCCCGAGCGAAACGGCCGTTTTTGGGCATTGACAGACGCATTTTGGGAAATTCGCGGGTGGCCGGCGGGACGGGCCGAAGCCCACTGGGGAGTTCTTTTAGAAAAAGAACCAAAACCAAAACCTGAATCATCCAGCACGCCGTGCACCCCTGTGGCAAGACCACAGGGGGCGGCGGATCGAAGACGCCTACGGCGAATCACCGCCGCCCCATGCCTTTGTGGAAGCGCCTATGTGGCCGAACGTTGAGGCCAGACCTGCCAAGCCATCGGACCATGTGTTCCCCGAATCGGTTTGGAAAGCCTTCGGGGAACACGTGGGCGTCTTGATGGTCATCGTCGTCGTCTTGGAGGCCTCTTGGGCGATCTTTCGGCGATCTTTGGGGGCGCTTGGGCCGTCTCGGGCCGTCGGAAGGCCGAAAGAAGGGAAATGCCCAAATCCATCAAAAACCTTGGGAAAATCAGTGATTTTGGCATCTTTTGGCCTTCCTGGAGGCCCTCTTGGGGGCCTCTTGGGCCCTTTTGGGCCAGCTTCAAGCCAACTTCGGCCATCTTGGTGGGTTCCTGGCACGTCTGACGCCGTCGGGAGCCGTTTTGGGGGCCTTTCTGGGCCAACGGGGGACCCTCTTGGAATGCTCCAGGGCCGTCTTGGAGGCCATCTTGGGCGTCTTGGAGGCCATCTTGGGCGTGTTGGAGGCCTCTTGGGCCCTCTTGGGGCCCTCTAGGGGCCATATTGGAGGCCACTTGGGCCATCATGGGGCTCTCTTGGGGGCCTCTTGGGCGATCTTGGGGGCTTCTTGGGCCGTCTTGAGCCGTCGGAGAGCCGAAAAGGCGCAAATGCCAAAATACTTCAAAAACCAAGGGAAAATCAATGATTTTGGCCTCTGCGGACTCTCCTGGAGGACCTCTTGGAGGCCTCTTGGGCCGTCTGGGAGGCCTCTGGGGGGCCTATTGGGCCGTCTTGGACTCTCTTGGGCCGTCTTGGAGGCCGTCTTGGACCATCTCTGGCGGACTTGGAGGCCATCTTGGGCCATCTTCGCGATTTTTTGAGGATGTCCCGAGCGAAACAAACGGCCGTTCTTGGAGGATTTTTTGCGGTCGTTGAGCACGTTCGGGGAAATTCCGGGTGGCCGGCGGGTTCTGCCGGAGCCCACTGGGAAGTTCTTTTGGAAAAAAAAAAACCAAAACCAAAACCTGAATCATCCAGCACGCCGTGCACCCCTGCAAGCAGGGGGCGGCGGATAATGGCCTTCGGCCCATCCCGCCACCGTGCCTGGGTTGTCGGTCAGAGACCACCCTTGGATGCATGTGAGGATCTATTGGGAGACCTCTCGGAAGCCTTTTGGAGGTGGCTTTGGGGGTGTTTGGGCACACGTGGACCGCCGGCCGCCCGGGTCGCGCCCAGACCCCGGAGCCCGGACCCCGGACCCCGGACCCCGGACCCCGGACCCCGACCACGGACCCCGGACCCCGGACCCCGGACCCCGGACTCCGCACCCCAATCCCCGGACCACGGACTCTGGACACCGGACCCCGGACCTCGGCCCCCGGACCCCGGACCCCGGACCCCGGACCCCGGACCCTGGACCCCCGACCCCCGACTCGCCCCCGACCCCCGACCCCGGGCCCCGGACCCCGGACCCCGGACCCCGGACCCCGGACCCCGGACCCCGGACCCAGGACCCCCCTCGGACCCCGGACCTCGGACCCCGTACCCCAGAGCCTGGAGCCGGGAGCGTGGAGCCCGGACCCGGACCCCGGACCCTGGGCCCTGCACCCCCCTGGTAGACGGCCCAAGACAGGAATAGACACTAATACCAGTTCGAGCTTCCCGCTGAGGCGCCGTGCACACATAATCTACGAATATCTATTCTTCAGGAATAGACGTTTTTAGAAATGATTGCTCCCGCCGAGGCGCCGTGCACACATAATCAATATATATATATATATATATATATATATATATATATACATACATATTGCTCTGGCGTGCCTGGTGTTCTCTGCGAGATAGGATGAGAGGGCGCCGTTGCGACCGTCGTTGCATCAATGCTCAAGCTTTTGTGGCATCCAGATGCCTGTACTCCGCAACGGGGTTTGGCTCGTGGGTGCCGTCACTCAGCTCCTCACTGCATATTGGTGGCGGACACAGCCCTGTCCAACGTGCCCCGACTGCCCGTCGTGCCCCACCTTGCACTGTCCCAGCTGCCCGCATCTGCAGTGTCCTGCGGGGCCGAACCCCTTGCAGGCCGGCGGGATCGCCGGCGGAGGTTGGAGCTCACCACCTCCTGGGCCGCCACCTGCGGCGGAGGCTGCCGCGGCTTCTGGGTTCCCTGGCGACGCTGTTCCGGGTGAGGATCCAACATCAGTACCGACCGAGGCTTCTCGGGAGGCAGGCGGCTGGCTGGGCGAGCTCGTGTCCCTGTGGCTCCACGCGCTGATCGCTTTGGTCCAGGCGGTGGCGATTTTGGGATACTCGTGCCTGAGGAACGTGTGCTCTTGGCGACTACCCAGCCGCCGATCTCCTGCCGCCATCGACAATGGTCGCGCGGCTGGGATACGTCCGCCCCTGGGTGTGGGTGCTATTCGCCGACGAGCTGCGGTGGCATCTGCATCGGATCTGGGGGCAAGCAGAGTATCCGCCAACTGGTCCTCAGGTTCGTCTTCGACTGAGCAGCAGCGCGCCTGATCATGGTGCCTGCAAAGAGGACTGCAGCAGGGACAGCGCTGACATTCTGGGGTCTCGCTTCGCGGACACTCATCGTGACCGCGGAGGTCAGGATGCGGGGCTGCTATACGATATCGGGCGGCGCTTGACGGTGAAGGAGGAGACCGCAATCATAGATGGGGTGACTCAGGTGGCCGACGAGACTTACCGGGGTTGGGAGACCGCTGGGTGCCTCGCTGCTGAGTTTCTTGTCGAAGGCACGCTGCGGGCTCACGGCGTTGGGCTGTGCGGCGTGGGGGCTGGACTGCAACTGGTCTGTGCCGACGGCGGCGTTGCTGGAGGCAGCGCTCGAGGTACGACGGCGACTGCCGCGGGAGATCGTGGAGCGGTTGCAGTCCTGAACGTGTCGGAGCGGTTCGGTGTCGACGTCGGGATCATGAGGGCCGACGAGGACTGGATCGGTATCCGACGGGCGTCGGCCTGCCTGGCGCTCTACGTAGGCGCCGAGACTGGGCTGGACGCCAGGCTCCGTGGCATCGGGCTGCAGTCAGGTGGCCATCGCACTCGGATCTGTACTCGGGACGCCGTCGCCGAGTTCGAGCATACGCCTCTTCAAAGATGGCCGTTGGCAGGCCTCCGTTCGGCAGCGAGGTGCTCCACCCTTGCCGACCGACGCTGCAGAGGCCCGCTGGAGCACTTCACGCAGTGTGAGAGTCAGCCTCATTTGCCGAGCGATGACTACTGCGGGGCCCGCTACGAGAGCATCATGAGGACGATCGCGTCCTCAGCCCGCTGGGATCAGGTTAGGTTTCGAGACCTTGTGGGCGCGGGGGAGATCATGCGACAGGCACAGCTCTACGGATACGTGTACGCGAAGGAGGCGGATGGTTCACTACACGAGGCCCTCCAGGGCCGCGGTCATGGCCACGGCTCCGCCGAGTTCGCTTTGTGGGACGAGGCCTCCGCCTTCGCCGTGGCATCGAAGGTGGATGTCAGGATGATGGTGCGTCCTGACCTTCTACGCCACATGTGCACCACAGCAGAGAGGGACGCGGGCATCCTCAAGTCGCTGCGCCATGGGCGTGAGGACTGCCGCGCCCTCTCGGGGCAATGAAAGTGACCTCGGACGGGATGCCCCTCGACCCGCCCGAGATGCAACAGAGGGCGGCTTCAGCCTCCCCGCCTGGAGTCCGTGATGTACGTGGGGGATGCTATTCTTCTCGCCGGGATGGTCGTCAGCGCGATGTCTTCCCGATTCCTCTTCGCCTTGATCCTGTCTCTTCCTCTACAGAGCTTCAGAACACGAAGACCCTTTCTCGGACAGCTGCTCGGCGGACACATCGCCGCCACCACAGGCTCGACATGGTGAATGAGTTAGTTGTGACTCTCAATGACATGTACCTGGGTGGACGTGGACATGACGACCTTCCGCGTCGTGCCGCTGGAGAGCCGCTGCTAGCTGTCCATGCCGAGGTGCACCGAGAGCTGGAAGATGCGGTTCGCCGCTTCGGAGAGCCGCCGATGGACCTCGACGGCCCAGGAGCCCTTGCGGAGCTTCGGGTGTCTCAGGCGCACCGCGGGGAGGCCGTGGCCATCGCCCCGGTTGGCTTCGACAACGTCGACCGCATCTCTCTGCCTGCTGCTACGACTTCTCCACAGACGCTAGAGCGTTTGGCTGGTGATGTGGGCCGGAAGATCGCCAATCGCTTGCAAGAATTGTTGCTACCCCGAGAACAGGGGTTGGACCGCATTCGTACTGAGGGACCACGTCGGCTATATGTTGATCCCAACCTTCGTAACCCTAAGCTGTATCAAGGAGTATTTCGACGGCTGGTGGACTCTAACCTGGTGAGTTTCCAGCTGGATTGTGAGTGCTCGGTCGGGCTCTTTTTCGTTCACAAGAAAAATGGCGATCTGAGGATGATCTTAGATGGCCGCTACTCGTCACTGCGTTTCGGCGAGGCCGACAAAGTTGAGTTAGCCTCAGGCGGTGCTTTCAGTCAGATCGCCGTAGACGGGGATGACCCAATCGCAGTGGCGGGCGTAGACATCGCTGACGCTTTCTACAACATTCTGCTGCCTCCATGGTTGCAAAAATACTTCGGCCTCCCGCCCGTCAGGGCTGGAGACTTCAATCTTTCTCACGTTGGCGAGGGCATCCCCGTTCATCCTTCGCAAAAGGTGGTGCCCTGTTTAAGATGTCCGCCCATGGGCTGGAGCGTGAGTCTTTGGATCTGCCAGACCTTGAACGAGCACATCAGTTCTCTAGTCCCGGGCGTCAGTACACATAACCTCTTTGTTGATCGTAGACCAGCCCCGAGTTTGAGCGATGATTTCATTCACACTGAGTACGTTGACAACTTTGTCTCACTGTCTCGGTCCGTGGAACGCGCTGGGGACATCGCCCGGGCCGTGGGCCGCGAACTAAATCGAGTCGGGTTGCCTACGCATGAGGTCGAGGAAGGAGTAGGCGGTCAGACTTTGGGCTGGGAGTTTGGTTCGAGTGATGCTGTCATCGGGCTAAATCCTCGTTTACGGTGGAGGTTGCGTCTGGGCATCCAGGAGATCTTGAGGCAAGACCGCTGTACTGGGGACACGCTCTGGAGGGTCATATCGCACTACACATCTCGGGGCCTCATCAGGCGGGAACTTTTGAGCGCTCTGGGTGCCGTGTACTCGTTCATCCGCGTGGCTGGTCATAGGTCTCTACGTCTTTTGGGATCCGTTCGACGTGAACTGCGGTGGTGTAAGTCCTTGTTGGTCCTATGTTTCAGAAACGCGGGCAGGCCTCTCTCGAAGGTGGTCTCTTGCGTGGACGTCTCGTGGTGGGGGGTTGGAATCGCCGAGAAGGATTTCTCGCATGATCAGGTCGTCGAGTTGTCGTCCTTCAACGAGCGATGGAGATTTGGGCGAGATAGCGAGAAGTCGATGCCTCCCCGAGCTTTCGACATTGGCATGTGGGAAGATGAGACCGAGGAGACCGAGACGAGCACGGGGTTCACCGAGCCCTACCATGTCCAGGAGGCCTCGAAGGGCCTGATGTTCAAGGAGCCCATCAAGGTCTTCCTGAAGCCCTCAGAGGCCAAGTTCAGGAGCGTCTCGAAGGAGGTCCTGGGGTGGAGTCTGGAAGCGTGTTCTTTCGAAACCTTGGGAGCGTGAGGAACCCCAGGTCATCCTGGAGGGCAGGGCTCTGGTCAGCTGTCTAAAGCACCTGCTTCGGAACTCTGGAAACTTCAGGCACGCTCATATTATCCTGAATGACTCTATGGCCCCGTTGCTGGCTTTGCTCAAGGGCCGGTCCTCCTCAGCGCCCCTTCAGCGAGCATGTCGTCAGGTCGCAGCTCTGGCGCTATGCTGTGGCTGCGGCGTCGTCTGGCGCTGGGTGCCTTCCGAGCACAACAGTGCAGACTCAGCCTCGCGGAACCGGCCTGGCCTTACAGCTGAAGCTGATCGAGCGGCCGCTGGGGATGCCAGGCGCACTAGCCCTTGCTCAGGGGACGGGCGGCTTGCCAAGGGGTCGGGGAGGACCAAGGACCAGCGCGGCCGTGACTTCGTCTCGCCGCCGCCGGGCCTCAGCCTCTACGACGAGTCATGTTGTCCGAGCTCGCATGGAGGGGGGCCGCCGAGCTGCAAGGCGCCTGCCGCGCCCCCAGGGCTGCCGCCGGGAGATCGTTCCGAGGCCCAGAGAGAGCCACTCGGTTCTGGAGCAGGAGTCGGTGTCCGCCGCCACTTGCCAGGACTACGAGAGGCGAGCCCACTACGTCTACCTCGGGGTCGAGCACTCTCGCCTGGAGACGGTGGCCGAGGAGCAACTGCACAAGGCCCTGGTGACGTACTTCCGCGAGCGGTTCTTGGAGGGGGGCGAGAGCATGAACGCGAGGAAGCTCCTCGCGTTGCTGGCCTTCGCGGGGTGCCACCTGGGCCTGAAGTACAGCAGCCTGCGGTGTGCGACCCGAACTGCTCGGGGGGGGCGCAAGCGGGCTCCGCCTCGGTCGATGCTTCGGCTGCCGTGGGCCGCCGGCTGCCTTGTCATTCGCCAGATAGCTCAGGCCAGGAATCGAGTACTGGCACACCTCACGGCCGTGGCCCTTGCCCTGTACCTGATGCCGTCGGAGGCGATCTCTCCTACCTCCCACGGCTTGGCGCCGCCGTCAGTGCTTTCGCTGGAAGGTAGGCGGGGTGGCAGGCCAGACTGGGGTGTACGACGAGTCGCTGGTGTTAGACAGCCCTGCCTTCCTCTGGCGCGAGGAAACGCGCCACAAGTTGCTGGTTCGCGCCCTCACCCCAGACGAAGCAACAGAGAGAAATCGGTGGTCTACAGATCAGGTCGCGAGGCGGGACACCGAGGCTGGACGGATCCGAGAACAGTTGGACATGCCCCCTCACCATTTTCGGAGCACCGCCAAGCACAGCCTCGATACAATTGGCGTCGTCCCTTGCGCGACCTAGCTCGATGTGTGAACGAGTCTGGACAGCAAGTGATGCTGGAAGTCTTCAGTGGAAGCGGCAACCTCTCTCGATCGTTTCGGCTAGTCCTGAGGGGTCTCTCCTGCTTCGAGCTGGACATTATCCATGATGCTGCTGCCGATGTCTTGTCCAGAAAAATTCAGAAGCTGGTCAGGGGCTGGGTACGAAGCAAAATGCTCTTGGGTGTGTGGATAGCTACTCCATGTCAGTCACTATCTCGTGCACGTAATCGGCCTAATGGACCTCCGCCGCTTCGTGACGCTGAGCACCCCCTTGGACTCCCTCACCTGAATCCCGCCGACTGTCTGAAGGTTGCCCGTGGTAACCGCTTAGCCCGTTTCAGCTTTGGCCTCTTTTCCCTTTGCAGATCTCTTAAGGTCCTTGTGGTTATCGAGAATCCTTCGACCTCTTGGCTTTGGACTCTCCCTGGGGCCAGAGCGCTCGCCCGTTCCAGTAACGTGCTCGATTTAGATGTTGATTTTTGCGCTTTCGGGACCCCGTGGCGTAAGCGAACCCGCCTTCGGTTTTGTCATCTCGACCTTGCTGGGCTCAAAGGGGCCCATTGCCAAGGTCGCGGCGTTTGCAGTTTTTCCAAGTGCCCGCACCGGGTGCTTGAAGGAAAAGACAATACTGGGCGATTTCTCGCCCACATCGCCGAGCCGTATCCCATAGGGTTTTGCGTGGAGCTTGGTAGAGCATACAAACAAGCGTTGCGGAAAAAAGCTTTCAGTGCTTTAACTAGATATGTGGCCTAAGGGCCAGTGTGAGAGTTTCGCAAAGTTTCAGTGTTTGCTTTCTGGTTCGGAGTTGTGATTGCCTCGCGGGAACTACCTCTGCGAGGCTGAGGCATCTAGATGCGAGCGGCTCTTGGGCCGCAATCACACATATTGACAGCATGGTCGGTCTGGAGCAAAAGTAGTGCTGTACATCTATAGGGCTGGCGCCCAGGAATCCGCCAAGCATAGATTGCTCTGGCGTGCCTGGTGTTCTCTGCGAGATAGGATGAGAGGGCGCCGTTGCGACCGTCGTTGCATCAATGCTCAAGCTTCCCTCCCTCGGTCCCCCTTTTGTCCCACCCTGCTGTTAGAGCCTTTCTACACTTGCACTGGAGTTGTGATTGCCTCGCGGGAACTACCTCTGCGAGGCTGAGGCATCTAGATGCGAGCGGCTCTGGGCCGCAATCACACAGATTGACAGCATGGTCGGTCTGGAGCAAAAGTAGTGTTGTAAATCTATAGGGCTGGCGCCCAGGAGTCCGCCAAGCATATATATATATATATATATATATACATATATATATATATATATATATATATATTCTGGGCAGTATCTAAAAATATTGTTGTGCATCGGCTTCGTCGCAACTTTTTAGTGTCTACGAGTGTCTATATAGTATCTATTAGTATCTGTTCACTACATGGTAGTATCTACTCCCCAGCAGGAAATCACATACGGAGTGGAGTCGATTCGGGTAGAACAGGATCCACATTGTTTGCTTCATGCAGTGGAACATGGTGTGGGTTTACGCGCGCGTGTATGTGTGTGTGTGTGTGCGTGTGCGTGCGTGCGTGCGTGCGTGCGTGTGTGTGTGCGCGCGTGCGTGTATGAAATTATCCCGGCAAAGCAACCTAACAGCGATGTGTAGGAGCATATTTGGAAGCATTCCCCTTAAGATTCAGATGATAATCCAGTTGTATAATTCTGCTGTTCTCGCAGTCGTAGTCGCATTCGCGATGGCAGTCGCAGTGGCAACGGCAGTCGCAGTCACAGCCTCAGCCTCAGCCTGCCGCAGCCTCAGCCTCAGCCTGCCTCAGCCTCAGCCTGCCTCAGCCTCGGCCTCAGCCTCAGCCTGTCTTCAGCCTCAGCTCAGCCTCACCTGCCTCTCAGCCTCAGCCTCAGCCTCAGCCTCAGCCTCAGCCTCAGCTCAGCCTGCCTCAGCCTCAGCCTGCATCAGCCTCAGCCTCAGCCTCAGCCTGCCTCAGCCTCAGCCTGCCTCAGCCTCAGCCTCAGCCTGCTTCAGTCTCAGCATCAGCCTGCCTCAGCCTCAGCCTCAGCCTGCCTCAGCCTCAGCCTCAGCCTCAGCCTCAGCCTGCCTCAGCCTCAGCCTCAGTCTGCCTTCAGCCTCGGCCTCAGCCTCAGCCTGCCTCAGCCTCATCCTCAGCCTGCCTCACCCTCAGCCTGCCTCAGCCTCAGCCTCAGCCTGCATCAGCCTCAGCCTCAGCCTCAGTCTGCCTCAGCATCAGCCTGCCTCAGCCTCAGCCTCAGCCTCAGCCTGCCTCAGCCTCAGCCTCAGCCTCAGCCTGCCTCAGCCTCAGCCTCAGTCTGCCTGCTTCAGCACTCACGCATCAATCAACCTTCAGCTCGCCTCAAGCCTCAGCCTGCCTCAGCCTCAGCTGACACACAGCCTCTCCTCAGCCTCATACTGCCTCAGCCTCAGCCTTGCCTCGCATCAGCCTGCCTCCGCCTCAGGCCTCAGGCCTCAGGGACAGCCTCATCAGCTGCCTCAGCCTCGCCCGCTTCATCCTCAGCCTCAGTCTGGCTTCAGCCTCGGCCCTCAATCCTCAACTGCCTCAGGCCTCAGCCTGCATCACAGCCTCAGCCTCAGCTTCAGCTGCCTCAGCATCAGCCTGCCTCAGCCTCAAGCCATCAGCCTGCCTCAGCCTCAACCTCATGCTCAGCCTGCTTCAGCCTCAGTCCCTCTTCAAGCCTCAGCCTCCAGTCTGGGTTGCCTTCAGCCTCAGCCTCAGCCTCAGCCTTCCTCAGCCATCAGCCTCAGCCTCATAGCCTGCGTCAGCTTCTCATAGCCTGCTTCAGCCTCAGCCTCAGTCTGCCTTCAGCCTCGGCCTCAGCCTCAGCCTGCCGCAGCCTCAGCCTGCATCAGCCTCAGCCTCAGCCTCAGCCTGCCTCAGCATCAGCCTACTTCAGCCTCAGCCTCAGCCTGCCTCAGCCTCAGCCTCAGTCTGCTTCAGCCTCAGCCTCAGTCTGCCTTCAGCCTCGGCCTCAGCCTCAGCCGAGCAGCGCTCCAGCAATCAGCCTGCCAGAGCATTCAAACATGTGGCCCGGGAATGGAGTTCTGGAACTCGAAGAAACACGACAGTGGCTAACAGTTGGCTCCGGGCATTAAAAATCATGCCGCATGAATGGAGTTCTGGGAATTCGAAGAGCACGCAGTGGCCTACAGTTGGCTCCGGGCATTCAAAATGTGGCCCGGGAATGGAGTTCTGGGAACTCGAAGAGCACGCAGTGGCCTACAGTTGGCTCCGGGCATTCAACATGTGGCCCGGGAATGGAGTTCTGGGAACTCGAAGACCACGAAGTGGCCTACGGCTGGCTCTGGGCATTCAGAATGTGGCCCCGGAATGGAGTTCTGGGACCTCGAAGACCACGAAGTGTGTAACTGTTGGCTAAAAAAAAGTCCCCGGCACCCTCCCCCGGATCGCGCCCAGACCCTCCTGGGGCGTCATGATGTTCTCTTTTGACCCTACTAGAAACCTATCAGTCTTCGCTGTTAGGTAAATTTGCATGTGTGCATGTGAGCACATGTGTGCTAGTGTGTGCGTGTATGTGCGTCTGCCTGGGAGCGCGTGGATGTTTGTGGATGTATGCGTGTGTGTGTGTGTGGATGTGTGCGCGGGTGTGTATATCTAGTGAGGAACATGCAACGCGTATCTAGTTCTTCCCCAAAAGAATATCTACTAGTATCTCTGTTTGATCAGAAACGTTGGTCCGTATTTATTCTACATATATTTATGTTCCACATGTCTATTTTCATTTGGGCAGATGAATTTGCAGATCAAAGCAACACAGAAATAATTATCCCGGCAAAGCAACCTAACAGCGATGTGTAGGAGCATATCTGGAAGCATTCCCCTTAAGATTCAGATGATAATCCAGTTGTAGATTTCTGCTGTTCTCGCAGTCGTAGTCGCATTCGCGATGACAATCGCAGTGGCAACGGCAGTCGCAGTCAAAGCCTCAGCCTCAGCCTGCCTCAGCCTCAGCCTCAGCCTGCCTCAGCCTCAGCCTGCCTCAGCCTCAGCCTCAGCCTGCTTCAGCCTCAGCCTCAGTCTGCCTTCAGCCTCGGCCGCAGCCTCAGCCTGCCTCAGCCTGCCTCAGCCTCAGCCTGCATCAGCCTCAGCCTCAGCCTCAGCCTGCCTCAGCATCAGCCTGGCTCAGCCTCAGCCTCAGCCTGCCTCAGCCTCAGCCTCAGCCTGCTTCAGCCTCAGCCTCAGTCTGCCTTCAGCCTCGGCCTCAGCCTCAGCCTGCCTCAGCCTCATCCTGCATCAGCCTCAGCCTCAGCCTCAGCCTGCCTCAGCCTCAGCCTGCCTCAGCCTCAGCCTGCCTCAGCCTCAGCCTCAGCCTGCCTCAGCCTCAGCCTCAGCCTGCTTCAGCCTCGGCCTCAGCGCCTGCCTCAGCCCGCTGTGCAGCCCTCATCCTGCTCAGCCTCAGCATCAGCCTGCCTCAGCCTCAGCCTCAGCCTGCCTCAGCCTCGGCCTCAGCCTGCTTCAGCCTCAGCCTCAGTCTGCCTTCAGCCTCGTCCTCAGCCTCAGCCTGCCTCAGCCTCAGCCTGCATCAGCCTCAGCCTCAGCCTCAGCCTGCCTCAGCATTAGCCTGCCTCAGCCTCAGCCTCAGCCTGCCTCAGCCTCAGCCTCAGCCTGCTTCAGCCTCAGCCTCAGTCTGCCTTCAGCCTCGGCCTCAGCCTCAGCCTGCCTCAGCCTGAGCCTGCCTCAGCCTCAGCCTCAGCCTCAGCCTGCTTCAGCCTCAGCCTGCCTCAGCCCTCAGCCTCAGCCTGCCTCAGCCTCAGCCTCAGTCTGCCTTCAGCCTCAGCCTCAGCCTCAGCCTGCCGCAGCCTCAGCCTCAGCCTCTCCTGCCTCGCCAGAGCCTTCATCGCCTCAGCCTCAGCCTCAGCCTGCCTCCTCATCAGCCTGCCTCAGCCTCCCGCACCAGCATCAGCACTGCCTCTGCCCTCGCCTCACCTGCTTCAGCCTCAGCTCAGCTGCCTCGCTCAGCTGCCTCAACCTCAGCCTCATGCCTGCTTCAGCCTCGCTCAGTCTGCCGTCGCCCTCGGCCTCAGGCCTCAGCCTGCCTCATAAGCCTCAGCATCGAGCCTGCCCTCAGCCTCAGCCTCAGCCTCAGCCTGCTTCAGCCTCAGCCTCAGTCTGCCTTCAGCCTCGGCCTCAGCCTCAGCCTGCCTCAGCCTCACCCTGCATCAGCCTCAGCCTCAGCCTCAGCCTCAGACTCAGCCTGCCTCAGCCTCAGCCTCAGCCTGCCTCAGCCTCAGCCTGCCTCAGCCTCAGCCTCAGCCTGCCTCTGCCTCAGCCTCAGCCTGCTTCAGCCTCAGCCTCAGTCTGCCGTCGGCCTCGTCCTCAGCCTCAGCCTGCCTCAGCCTCAGCCTCAAGCCTGCCTCAGCCTCAGCCTCAGTCTGGGTGGCCCCCCCCTTTTTTTTCTCCCCCCCCCCCCCCCCTTTCCCCGGGCCCCCCCCCCCCTTCACCCCTCAGCCTGCCTCAGCCTCGGCCTGCATCAGCCTCAGCCTCAGCCTCAGCCTGCCTCAGCATCAGCCTGCCTCAGCC